ATCCCACGCAATCCCACGCAATCCCACGCAATCCCACGCCGTGTGATTCCAGGGCCGTACCTTGTTTCCGATGCTCATCCTTGGCCGGGCGCGCCTTGCCGAGTTTCATGGCTGAAAAAACTCCTTTCCCAGCCCTGGATGAAGAGAGCAAATAAAAAAAACCAAAAAGAAAGCCACCATAAATTACTGTATTTGAGCGTTTTCCGGGCCTTGGGAGCGGGAGCAGGAGGAGCCTCTCCCGGCTCAGCAGCCAGGGAGGAAAGATCAGGAGAAGGAAGGAGCAGGAGCCTGGAGCACGGGGAAACACACGGCCCTGGGGCTCGTTTTGTGTCCTGGGAATGCCTCAGTTTGGGATAAAACACAAGGCTGGAGCACAGCCTGGGCACCCAAGGAACCCTCCCCGTGCCCCGAATCCTCCCGGGAGCTGCTCCCGGAGCTGCTCATTCCCCAGGGAAACGCCTGAAAACCCAACTCCTGAGGATTAAATCACCCTGACGCTTCCCAGACCAGCCTGCCGTGGGAAAATCAGGAAGCTTTAGGGCTGGAGCAGCAGGAAATTTGTACAGATCCCGAAGTTTCCCAGCAGCCAATTCCAGGAAGGTGGTTTATCCCCTTCCAGGGTGGTGAGTGCCAGGATGAGGTCATGGAATTCCAGGCTGGTTTGGGTGGGAAGGGAACCTAAAGATCATTTAATTCCCACTCCCTGCCACGGGCAGGGACACCTCCCGCTATCCCAGGGAATCCAGCCCAGCCTTGGACACTCCCAGGGATCCAGGGGCAGCCACAGCTTCTCTGGGAATTCCAGCCCAGCCCCTCCCCATCCTCCCAGCCAGGAATCCCTTCCCAATCTCCCATCTAACCCCAGGAAAACCAGGCACCTGCATCCCGGTTTTCCCATGCTTGGATATGGGATTGCTCCAAGAGAAACCCTGCCAGGCTCTTCCCTTCTCCATGGGAACCATGGAAATGGAGGGGAGGGAAACCCCAAAGCGTTGGGAAAAGGTCCATCCTTGCTTTTTGGGGATCCTGGGATGGGTTGGGTGGGAAGGGACCTTAAGGTTCATCCCGTTCCAACCCTGACACTTCCCGCTATCCCAGGGAATCCAACCCGGCCTTGGACACTCCCAGGGATCCAGGGGCAGCCACAGCTTCTCTGGGAATTCCAGCCCAGCCCCTCCCCACCCTCCCAGCCAGGAATCCCTTCCCCATCTCCCATCTCTCCCTGCCCTCTGGCACTGGGATCCATTCCCTGTGTCCTGCCCCTCCCTTCCAGCCGGGATCTCACCTCCCATGTGCCGGGAGATCCCGGGCTCAGCTCCAGCCCCGGGAGCAGCAGGATCGGGATGTGCTGCCCACGATCCCGGTGACGGCACCGACCCCTCCCGGTGCCGCCCGGCTGGGACCGCGGGAGGGGCTCTGACCCTTTTTGGGGGCCAAAGCAGCTCCAGCCTCGTCCTAAATAACCCCTGGAATTCTGAGCGAGCCGGAGCACGCGGGAAGAAAGTGAAGGAGAGCGGGATAACCCAGAGTTCCCGGCGGGAAGGGGCGGGAGGACGGAGGGAGGAAGGCGCAGGAACCATTTAGAGCCGGGACTAAAGCAAAGCTCAGACCCCCCCGGGCCGCCTCTGGCAGCCGGGATAAAATTTTGGGATGCTCCCAAGGGGCAGTTGGTGGATGGAGAGGAGGAGGAAGGGTGAGGGCGATGTTTCCATGGCTGAGATCCCGCCTGGAAACCCCTTCCCCCGGAGGAGCTCCGGGAACGGGACGCTGCTGAGCTGTTCGCAAACTCATTTACTTAATGAGTTTGTTTAATGAGCGGCCCCCCCGATCCCGGCTCGGGCTGTGGAAGCGCTCCCAGACCTGGAGATCCCTTCCAGCCTGGAATATCCAGCAGGCTCGGAGCCAGCGCACCTCCAGGGCTGGTTACATTTTCCCTTCTTTTCCATTAAATTCTCAAAAAATGGAGAAGAAAGAAAAAAAATCAAGCCCGGCAGCCCCCGGGGGTGAAGTTTGCCCGCGGGTGGTTGGGGATAAAACCTGTCCCGGGAATTCCTGAGGCTCCCGGGGAAGGAAAACCGAAGGGAGGAGCGGCTGGGGACGGAATTCGCAGGGGAGACTCCGGCAGGGTCCTCGCCCGGGAGCCAAATCCTCGCGGGGACACCGAGGGGAAGGGCCGGGAATGACGGGGTTGGGAGGGCGAGGAGGGAAGGGGGGAAAAGGAAATAAGGAAGGGGAGGAAAAGGAGGGAAAAGGAAAAAGAGGGAATGAAGAAAATGGCGAAAAATGAAGGGGGGGGAGAAAAAAGGAAAGAGAAAATGGGAAAAAGAGGAAAAAAGGAAAAAAAGAAGAGAGGGAAAAAAAGGAAAAAAGAAGAGAGGAAAAAAGGAAAAAGAGGAAATGGGGAAAAGAGGAAAAAAGAAGAGAGGAAAAAAGGAAAAAGAGGAAATAGGGAAAAAAGGAAGAAAGGAAAAAAGAAGAGAGGAAATGGGGAAAAGAGGAAATGGGGAAAAAAGGGAGAAAGGAAAAAAGGAAAAAGAGGAAATGGGGAAAAAAGGAAGAAAGGAAAAAAGAGAGGAAAAAAGGAAAAAGAGGAAATGGGAAAAAAGGAAGAAAGGAAAAAAGAAGAGAGGAAATGGGGAAAAGAGGAAAAAAGGAAATGGGAAAAAATAGGGAAAAGAAAACAAGGGAAAAAGAAAATGGGGGGAAGAAAAAAAAGGAAGAGAAGAAAAAGGAAAAGAGGAAAAAAGGAAAAAGGAAAACAGGGAGAAAGAAAACAGAGAAAAAGAGAAAAGAGAGGAAAAAAGTAAGAAGGAAAAAAGAAAACAGCGGAAAAGAGGAAAAAGGAAAAAAGAAAATAGGGGAAAAAAAGAGAATAGGAATAAAAAGGGAAAAAAAGGAAAAACAAAAGAGTAAAAGGAGGATAAAAAAATAAAAAATGGAAACGGGGAAAAGAAAAAGGATAATAAAAAAAGAACAAGGAGAAAAGGGGAAAAGAAAAAAGGAAAGGAGAGAGGGGGAAAAAATAAAGAAAATCCACCGAAAAAATACAGGAGGAAAAAACCAAAAAGGAAAAATCAAGAAAAGAAAAAAAATTAAAAAAAAAACGGGAAAAAAAGTCAGGAAAAAAAACCAGGGGAAAAACGGGGGGGGGAGGAAGGGGAAACAAAACTGAAAAGCAAAAACACAGACACAAAAAAAGGTGAAAAAAACAGAAATAAACGGGGCGGGGCGGGGGAGGGGACAGAAAAAAAGAAAAACAGGGGGGAAAAAAAAGCTGGAGGAGAACTAAATCCCAAAGGGATGGATTGGGCAGGTGCGGAGCAGAGGGAAGAGGTAGAACGGGAGGAAGGAGCCGTCCCGGAGCTCCGGG